TAAGGCACTGAAACTTTGAATCTACCTGTGCGTGTGTATCTGTGAGATACATTTCGTTTAATTCTCTCTTTTGCTTTTTTTTTGCTGTTTTCTGTGTGTGTGTGCAGCAGCAACAAGTGAATGACAGGATAATCGTCCTGTGTACCTGTTTGCCTGTTTGTTTGCCTGCTGCCTGCGGTCTTTTGATATATATTTTTTGCTGTTTTCTGTTTTGTTTTTGGCATGTGAACAACTCGCATAAAATCTCTTAATGTTTGCATTCTTATGCCGCTGTCGTCTCGTTTGATGCGTGATCTTGTTGATTATGCTGATGGCTGTGATCTGTCTCAGAGTTCCCAGTTTCTCATGCCCCCAGCAGGTTCCATTCACCGAGTCAGTTCAGTGGCATTTTCGACAGTACAAATTTCTCGTTTACCATTTATTTGAATACCCTGTACCCGAACCAAACGGGTAAAATGGATCTGATAACTTTGTGCGAAAATATGTATGCAGGCAAGAGGATCTCAAAAATGTTATCTATTTTTCATCGGAAAGACAAACAAAGTCTATAGAGCGCCTAAATCTAGGAACCTGTAATTTTAAATACATATCGATGTTTTGATTGCCATGATTCGAAAGCAAGCCCAAAGAAATCATCTCGAATACTATATAGAAGTTAATAATACCTTGCTCTTTGTGTCCTCCCATCTCCTACAAACTTGTCACGACAGCCGGGCGCTGAGTACAGGGTATTTTTTAGTCGGGCACATTCAACTCGTCTTCTTTATCAGTTTTTATTTTCAATTTTTTGGTTTTTCTTCTTTTTGGCTCATTGCTTTTGTATGCAAGAGTGTGAAATTTTTGCTTGTTGTTTGCTTCATGGAAATTGCCTATGCCTCGGAATTTGTGGGAACAAGTGCAGCGCACGGCACACACACATTCGAGGATGTTACGTGCCCTTTCTGTACGATTGCCAAGAGAACACCCGCAGGCGAGAGCGTGTGAATTTCGCACTGTATGATTTTATTTTTCCCTTATATACATTTTGTACATTTTTGCATTTCCAAGTATAGTTAGTGATTGGAAACTGCATTTATATAATAAAGCGAAGATAGTTAAGCATAGTTAGATTACGTTAAAAAAAATTATATAATTGGAAACGTTCGCTTGTCATACATACATATGTAGGTATATTTTCTTGTGACTAAACAAGATATGCAAATGTTGTCTTATGCACGTAGATTAATGGAATTACGATATGAACCATATTGAAATATCTTCTTTGATATGCAGAAATATTGATTATAATTATGTATTTAATTAATTATAATATGTTTGCCTGTTTGTCCCTCCGCCTGTATGTATGGACACGTATTCCCATATCTCGCGCAGTTTCAGGTTGTTTTAAATAATTGATAACTTTCCCGATTGCAAATTATAAATATCAATATCGAAACTATGTTTATGAAGCATGTCACAGAACTTATAAGAGCTAGAGACAGTCGAACACTCCTATAATTTATTATTTGCTTTAAATAGATATGTCCAATGTTAGAGCATCATTCAAGTCTAAAAACATGCACCATTTGATTAACAATCTTTCTGTTTGTTTTGCTAGCCTTAAGCTTATATTTAACTATATTTAATATCTATATTTTGTAACTGCTGGAAATAACCAAGTCCCTGAGTGGACATCCCTATTGATTATAAACCAGTTATATATGTAGTCCAACTTATCTCTCTGCCTGACAGTTTTGACCATATGGCCAAGGTAAATCTCCTTGCACACTTCGTGCTCCATTTAATTAAAATTCCAGCAACCTGCTCAGGTTTATGTGTGTTTATGTGCCCTAAAGTGCTGTCACCTTAACTCGCACGCATCATGATTTATAATCCTGCAGCAAACAAAATTAAATAATAAAACCGAAAGAAAAAAAAAATACACACAATCTGTAACAAAATGCGCCACGTACAGACGCTTCTCATATTGGAGGAACATCGGGCTGCGCATGCGCAATAAATTCGGTTTTTATGACACCTGACAAAATACGCAGCAGCCGATGCTAAAGTTGCCGCTGGAGTTGGTGGAGTTGATGTTGCGGCCGCTTCAGTGGAAAATTGTTTAATGACTAATGGCAGTCGCCAGTGGTTGGGCTGGGGTTGAGGCTGGGGTTGGGGTATATATGCACACACACACATGTATGCATGTGTATGGGACGCCTTCTGCCGTTCGTTTATTGCCCTGTGTCTATTGAAGATTAATTTCATTTACACAACTTCATCGCCTTGGCCGGGCTTAACACTTTGTTGCCGCTGTTGCCGGCTGCTGCTGCTGCTGCTGCTGCTGTTGCGTTTTGAAGTTAATAAAGCCATAAATATTGTCTTTGGGGGCTGTGCACGGATTTTGGTTTCGCTGTAAGACGCCGTAATACGCAACAGTCGGAGCAACAGCAGCTACAACAACAGCAGCGTGTCTGGAGCGGCACAAATCGTTACGTGTCGATAGTTTTTTATGGCTCCTTTGTGAGTGCCTAGTGGTGGCCAGCGACCAGTCGCGACTAGGCGGAGCATATGCCGCAGATTAGAAACGGAGCTGATATTTTATGAGGAAGCAAATTGCATCAGCAAGTGAAACTTAGCATGTCCATGGGAGGAGCTTAATTTTATTAACTAACGAAAATGAACTTTTCAAAGCACTGAAAAATTAATTTAAACGCGTAAAAGCAAAATATACCACTAAACTCTACGACTAATTATACTATCATTTTATAGAACCCAATCGAATACAATTGAATATTGTATATTCTGAATCACCAGGCTTATTCTAAGGAATATTTATTTTCGACTCATTACAAGTTGTTGGAAAAAATCCCCCGTTATTCACGTTGCACGAAATGAAGCACAATGTGTGGCAAGTTTGTGCTGTAAATAGCTTTCGACAAATTGAAACGCTTTCAGATAGTTCAGTCAATGCCTGTGTAAGCAGAAAAATATGTAAATAGACGACAGGAAAGATGTTTTCATATGCCTAATGGGCACCTTATCGGGCCACAAGTGTGTAAACATGAGCAACAGATAAAATGGGAGACGAGCAGCAATCAATATACACAATTCCCGTAAGGTTTATCCGGGCCAAGGCAAACAAATGAACACATGAGCATATGAAAAGGTGCTTCACAGTTTTATAGCCAAGCGATCGGAGTATTGGCACAGCTGCTACTTTATAAAGACTTCGGTGATCGGGACAGAGCACAGACCAGGCCAGAGCAGGGCAGAACAGGCGACGACCTTATGCAAAAAAGGTGCAACATTTTCCAAATACAAAAGCAACTCTTTGTTGTTGCTCTTATACAAATACTCAGATATCATAATACACAAACACACACACACATTGCGAACGAGGTGCGCCCTAACGGAACATTGTCGAGTGCTTGGGCTTGGGGTGTATCAATGGTTGTCTGTGTGTGTGTGTGTGTGTGTGTGTGTTGGCATTTGGCTTCCTGCCCAACGTAGAGTTGTGCTATGCAAATACACCTTGCATACTAGCGAGTCGCCTCCTTCCGGCCGGAAAAGTGATCTATACTCAAGTGCCGATGGTTCAGTTGGGGGTGGTTTCAACACAAGGGGGCATGTTGAGTGTGGTTCGAACTTTTCCTGTCTACCTGTCAAGTTAACGCCTGACGGCGCAAGCGCCCGATAAGTGGGCAAGCGAGCGTCGAGCAGCTGGGAGAGGGTCCTTAAAAAGGGATACGATACATGCATATGCAGGAGCTAAGCCTGCAACAGGGCTAGGGGTCTGGCATAGGGGTGGATAGCTTTGCCGACAGGTGTGTCAAAAAAATATAATAAAAATAGACGCACTCGAAATTTGTTTAGACATCAACTGAATGATTATCTAACAACAGAACTATTCAGACTGCCTAAAAAGTACAGTTTTCATAAGACCTGCATTGTAATATTGTATAGAAAAAAAAAAAAAAACGTTATAATAAGTATGCTACATAATATGATAGGGAGGAACTAGTCATCATACAAAAAGACACTTGAAGTAGAAAAAATGTTCACATCCTTTATCTCACATAGGGAGTTCTACGATTTCGTAAAAATTCAAATTATGTACTGAAATTGTTGAGCTCTGTTCTTTTAAAAATAACTCGCTTAAGAAATATCTATAAAATACATTTTTGATGAATCTTAGCTGTTATTTAAGCGTAGTCACAATCAATTTCTAAAGACGATAAATAATATATTATTATCATTTCAAGTATAGGACTAGTTATAGGTCTAGCGTCAAGTATAGCTCAGACAACCATAGAGCCATACATCGAGCATTTGTTCAATTTTATACCAAGCTTCTTATTTTTATAGACTATAATTTCTGATAATCTAATTGTGTTGGGGCCCAGCTCTATTTTGAAACCCACTACAGAACTGCGTAAAGCATTTCCAATTAGATATGTAGAATGGTCACTCGTAACCCAATACAAAATGCCATCTATTACACGAAAATTAATGCTACTACAATTGGTGTCCACAGCACGAACCGCACGCATGCCCGTCCAATGGCTACGTGAGCGCCCAATTTCGAAGTGAGACTTGGCGCACGGCTTCAATTGAAGTTCAATTGGAGACGCATAGATGATTGTGTCGCCCTAAGCCGCGCTTTGATTTTATTGCCAGCACTTAACATAATGAGCGGCACGATAAGATCACGTTTCCTCCTCCAAAGCGACGACGCCGACAGTTGGCGACTAGCGCATGCGCATATGCTTCCTGTCTGGGTTAGCGTTGCTGGCCGGATATTCCTTTAAGTACTCCTCCGCATTGTCGGCGTCGTCGTTGTCGTTGTCGTTGCCGTCGTCCCCGTCGTCTGCGTCTGCAATCAGTGCACAAAAGTTCAAAGTGCATGGGTAGAATAAATGAATTTTCATGGAGCTCCATTGAAATGCCAAGTGCAGCAGCAATGGCAGCAGTAGCAGCAACAGCAGCAGCAGCTGATTGAACAAAGGACACACCACCTGTTTCCTTGGGCTTTTGTTCTGATTTATTTGAAAGGAAGTTCATTGAACTGTCTGAATATGGCTGTAATTGGAATCGTAACGCGCGTGTGTGCCAAGCAGCCCAGAGGCACGTCTAATTCCCTCCTAATATCTTATTCTTACTGCCTCTGCCCGTCCGCTCGCTCTACCATTTGTACGTCAAATAGGCATCGTAGAGCAGCTTGGACTTGTTGTAGCGCTTCTCCTCCTCCATGAACTGTATTATATCCTTCACGTTCATATGCTTGATGCGTATGATAAACGAACGTTGTGGCGGCTGAGCGGCTCCAGATGTTAGCTGACCTCCAGCACCACCAGGACCGATTGGTTTCCGTGCGCCCAACGCCATGAGGGCCGTACTATTGGTCGACTCCAGACGCATTTCGTTTTCACCCGAGTTGTTGGTGCGATTGCGTTGCAGCTTCATCCAGCGCCTGTAATTGGAATAGATATTATCATATAAAAATAAACCCCATCTATATCTAGACTACCTGCGATGCCCGTAGGCGGAATCGTCATCCGAACAGCCATAGTCGGCCACCTCGCGATCGTTGAGAAACATCATTGTGGTGCGCATATTATGCTGCACCACGCAACGCGGATCGTTATAGAGATTGTTGCCAGAGCGATGTTCGCATAGCTCGATGACGGTCCGCACTAGGTACTTCATGTACGTCTCCACGGCTGACAGTAGCGCATCCACGAGCTCGTCCTTGAAATCTTTAGAAATGCCTTCTAGAATGCAATACTTGAGCAGCGTCTTTTCAATAACCTTTGGCTCAAAGAACGATGGACGTGGCATGTCCGAAAATTTGGGTCCCACAATTGCCTTCTTGCCCGAGCCTTGCCTTTGGTCATCGCTGACGTCGGGCACAATGAGATGCTCAATGATGAGCAGCCTGCCAGCGTAGGGCTGCATGGGCACTTCAATGGGATAGCTGGACATGTTCCGCCCCGACAAATATCTGGCAAAAAGAAACACAATAAGTTATAAGTTCCACACAGCAGCTGCCCAGAGCAAAGCTATGCCCATGGCCCCTTGGCCATGGCACGCGTCTGCACCTTGACTATGTTCAAGTGCATAATAGAAGGTAACATATGCCAGCATGATCCTTACCGGTCGAGTGCACGATCAGTGACCGCAACACTGCCCACTCGCGCAACAGCACTTGTTCCTCTCCAGTGCACTGTGCACTCAACCTGCCCACACATCTGCAACAGGAGCGAGGACATGTTATGCAAAGTGCACAGGAATGCGACAGGAAGGTGGTTGGTGCTGGTGCTGGTGCTGGTGCTAGTGACTGGAGTTTCTGGCGTGCTGCCGGCACGAGCGACTAATTATTCAAATTGTGAGCATGATGGAATGCTAGAACTAGGACAAACGACCCACCGATCGACCAACCGGTCGGGGTAAGCGGATATTAAACAACGGCGCGCGACACTCGTCTGTCGCACGTCGCACGACGCAAGTCTCAGGTCTCGCCTGTCCCGCACATTTCCGCGCACCACTGACTTTCGGTGCCCAAAAGGACGGCCCAGTCCAGTCGAGTCGTGGCCGAATCTATGAGGGTGCTTGGGCGCATATTAAGCCAGGCATTACCTGTGCTCGCCTGTGTTTTGACATGTTGTTACCCCTAGCTAGAAATTTATTAGAAATTCTGGTCAAGGTGCCACCGGAGCCGACGGCTCATGTGTTTCGCCTTTGTCGCTAATGTTGCCGCCGTCTGTTGCCCGGACGAGTCGCTCTGCTCCCGAACAGGTTCATTACGCGTGCCGTCGCAGTGCCAGCTACGAGGCGTTGACCTAATTATGCATTTTCTTTTTTAATTACTATTATTTTATAAGTTTTCTGTGCGTTGGGCCGACTTACATGAGGGTAGCTCCGGGTTACTTACCCAAGTTCTTCGCCTATGCAAGGTGCGCTGTCTTATTCTTATTTTATGGTTGTTGTGCATAAATTCACAATAGTAAGTTTTAAAAAAATATCACCTCTTTGTTTCTAATCCCTAAAAAACTGTATAAAACTTTATTTGCAAAGCAATTTCCCTCTGACTCTAGCTTTTGGCATTTTTCAACACTACATTGTAATAGTTTTTTCTAACATTTGATCAGTTAACTGAACCGTCTCGTACCTTCAGCTGCCGTTATGTTCAGATCGGATAGCTGCATATACCTTACTGCCACAGTTTGGTAAAAAACTATGGTCTTCTATGCAAAAATTGATACTATGTTAACAATCGGTTGGCCATTTGTTTATGAGAGTATAAATCTTCATTCTCTTGTTTTGATAATAATTTCAATGATTAATTTTAAAAGAAGGCCGGTGTTTGTTAATTTTAGCAATAAGCTTTTCTTATTTATTTTAAATGAGTTTTTATCAGTCAGTTTTATCACTCATCGATTATCGCTACTCTAACGTACGGGCCCGGCATTTTGCAGCACTGCCTTAAGCAACACACAACACTAAAATTTGAATAACGATAACTCAGTAAATAGTCACTGCATCAATCGTAACGCTAACGGTCCATATTCAAGCCAGCGTTTAGAAATGCAGATTGGCAATTCGAATTGCAATGCTGCAGCTTGCATAATCCAGCGGGAGGCAGCGGTGGGTAGCGGGAGGAGACGACGACGGCGACTCGGGTAAAGGAGCAGTAGCGGCTGGGGCTGCAGTTGGATCAGCACATAAACTAAGCTAACAATTCAACTAAAATGCCAACTAGATAATAAAAAATAAAATCGAAGAAGAAGCAGCAGCTCAGGGAGAAGCAGCAGCAGCAGCAGCAGGAATAGAGTCTAGCTGATCGACAAACAGTGCAGATGGCAAATGGAAATAAAAATGCGAACACACGAATGCCGAAGTCACTTGAAGGCACCCAAAACTGACTGCCAGACAGCCTGACATGGCTGGAGTCGGAGTCAGTTGGCGACCACCCACACGCTGTTTGCAGTGCATCCTCGCCGCCTGCGCAGTGTCAAATAGACAACAACAACAACAACAACAACAACAGGCTGAGTGTTGCGTGGAGCGCGGGCGTTGCTGGACAGACAGACAGAGAGACCGACGGATAGCCCAGCGAGTTGTTGTGGGCATATTCCAGCGAATAAATATTATCATATGGAAATTTCTTTTAGAGCAATTACGAATACTGCCAAAGCCCATGTCCCCATGGCAAGGTGACCCAGCAAACGTCAAACTTTTCTGCGCACAGGAAATCGAAATCGCAACAAGTTGACGTTGCCCCCAAACGTTGGCCACACGTTGACGATGATGTAGCACCGCCGTCGACGGCGGCTTGAGAATGGGACGCTGCGGCCCATTCATAGATACCCAGCATGTGGCAGTTGTAGAAAGTTGAAGGCAACATGGAGTGCAACGACAGCCGAGCACAGGTCGTACACACACACACATACACACATAACAATTGGAATCGCCTCCATTGGCAATCGTTGCGCTTTGCGTACCTGTCGCTTGTTGGCTTTAGCTGCGATTCGCGGGGCTCGAGGTCTGCGTTTTGGGCGCAGCAAACGAAATTGCCAATTGTTGCACGTTTAGTGGCGGTGGCAGCTACTGTTTTATTTTATTTTTTTTTTTTTTTTGTTGCTGCCACACACCTTGCAGCAGTTGAAACGGAAGCAACAAGCCAAAAGCCACTGTTTGCTATACATACAAACCCACACACATATATTATACCCTTTATACCCTACAATCTAGAGTTGGGCATGATAACAGGCAGCTTTTACAATTAGACATAATAGATAGAGGTATCTATCATTAAGGTTAACAAGTATACTAGTGGGAAAATCATGAATTTGATTTGAATTAAACCGAATTTCAAAAATATTGCAAGTCAATGTCGGATTCCAAAAATGCTTTCGTGAGTCGAAAAGGCCAGGTTCACAAACCCATGACAATAATGACCATGATATAAACGCTATATATATAAATATCAGTGTACTGGCCTAACTAAGTTAGATCTAGCAAATATGGCACATCGCTTACAGACTAATTTATATTTAATGCTAATTTGACCAGCCACAGCTTAGTTTGGGAAAGATAGAGTATTTGGTATTCGAGCAGTCTCAGCAGACGCCCTCCTACTTGTTGTTGTTATTGTTGTTGCCACCTCAGCAAGAGTTTTAAGAAATTTTAATATGGGGGCCTTTAACTGCACTGTTGCATCTTGTGGGTGTGGCTGATTGGGCGAAATGGATGAGTCTGAGCCTGGGCTGGCCGCAATGATCAATCTTTGACGTGAAACGTTTATTGCGGATTCAGGCTGACGTTGTTAGCTAAAATGTTGATTATTATTATGATGATGATGATGATGATGATGTGGATGTGGATGTGGATGGGGATGTGGTTGTGGACGTTGAGGACGTGTGAACGCCGTTGCTGTCTTGCTGAAGATTTTGATTGCAGCCAACGGTCGGTTGCCCTCGGTGCCAGTTGCATTGGCTACTGGTTTTGAGCCGCCACTTAAGTGGGCGTGGCGGCATTTGAAAATGTTAGCTTGATATGCTGCCTGCTGGCCTTGTTGGCTTGCCCCAAATCGCCTGCTCCGATTTAAATATGAAAGGAAACGATTCATTTTGCCCATGGAAATGGCTGACAGGCCTCGGTAATGTTTCAATTTCAGCCAGCCTCGGTTAGTTATTAAATTCAATGTGAAGGCTGACAAAAAGGAATACGAAATTCACCTGAAGAGCACCTACAAAAAAACACACAACTTGACGTGTGTCTAGATCTTCAAATGCACACAAGCCCTTGGCACGGCAGCGGAAGTGAAAATGAGACGGCTTGCAAAAGGAGACAAATGAGAAAACACCAACAATTTTATTGTTTTTGCCACTTCTAATTTATTTTTACAGCATCGCATTTCCGTTTGCTTCTCGGAAGACAATTCGGCATTGTTCCAACACAATTGGCAACAGGAACTATTTTCTTTCCATATTCTAACAATTAGGCATTATAATTTTGTTACAATGTGCAGAAGGCAGCGGATTGTTCAGGGCGACGAACCAGACAGGATATGCTCTCATTCTTTAGATGAACTGGTCAGATACAAGTATTCTTTTGAAAATGGACATAAAAAGGATACAGTGTTTCTGTGTGGAAATCTGTGTAACTAGCTGAAGGATGTTTCGTTGATCTCATGAAATATATTAGTATGTTCTTGACGAGTCGGTCTAGTCGGTCGAGTCGGTCGATATCTAACCAAATCGATATCTCACCAAATTTACTATATAAACTCTGGCACTTCCAATTTTTCCCTTTTATATATATTTTGATTAAATTTTTAATTGGTTGATATTAAAATGGCTACCAGGTTATCAATTTATTCCACGAAATCGACAAAAATTGACTCCTAATATCAATAGACACGCTAAATAAAATATATATATATATACATATATGCTCAGGCACTTCAAGATTTACTTTTTATTTGTTGACATAATCAAACATTCAATTGGCTTAAAAATGTTTATAATTAATCATTATATATATCATTATCTATCCATAATTTCGTATAATATTAATATAATTATTATGTTCTTTCATTGCAGCAACTCAACAAGTAGCAACACATTATAAATACATAAAAAAACAACGAACCGCAGCAGGTTAGTGCTTGGTCAAAACAGCTCCCAGTCGAAGACGCCATCGGCAACGATAGGATGCACATTGACGACACGTTGCCAAGAAAATTACTCGTATTAAATGAAGCAGCAGAGAATTTCTTTATAAACATGACGCGCGTCGCTCGATGGCACCATAAACCGGACGATAACCCGAGTGCGCCTGCGCCCCACGCTGACCCCCAGGGCCCCGGAGACCTGTAGCCCCCAAAAAAATATCATATGCAAAATGGGCAAGGCGGACAAACTTAATAGCTGTTAGGCTGCAGTCGGGCACTGGGCCCCCAGCCGGAGACAAGCAGACCACAGAAGAAAAAAAAAAATAAACAAAAAGTGCAACACGCCGCCGGCGGCGTGCATGGCCTGTGGTTGCACGGATGTGTTGGATGCACGCCCCCCACATGCACAAGGGAGCGCATACCACGTCTCCGTCAGAGAGTCGAAGCTGCAATCTTCTTCTTCAGAGCGCTCGCTCGTGTGTCGTCAACCTGTAAAATGTATAACGACAACATTAAGCTCGTGCCACCAGCTGAAGTTTAATGGTTGGGGCACTTACCGCTGTGGCGACTTGTCGACTGTGCCAATGTTGCAACATCATCTACACAACGGTACACAACTTCGCTGCGCGGCAGGTTCATGCCAGTTCAGGCACGCCGGCAACGGTTGATCTGATTCAAAAAGGGAGGCACAACACTCGCATGTGTGTGTGTCGCTTTTCATACCCTTTTGGAGAGTATTACAACATTGACACGAAATGTGTAACGCCAATCAGGTAAGGTATTCAATCCCATATAATAATATTTTTATATTATATATTAAGCCATTATATATTATATATTATATATTATATATTAGCTCTCATATGATAATTCGAAAATTCTTCTATACAACTTTGCTTTTGTCTTAAAATATTCTCACAAATCTTGGCATTTACAAGTTCCACATGATTCCTCACTTATGAACATAACCCCATCACTATAGAACTTACCATATCAAATAGGTTTATAAGGAAATTTATTGAAAACTGATTTTATAGAATGAAATCTGGGCAATTACAAGTTTCACTTTTAATTTCGTAACAATTTAGATTACTATATATGGCTTATATGGGAACAATTGGTTGGAAGTAAAGTTTTGGGTACTAAAACCCTTCCAAGTCACGTGAATATTTACAAGGGTATTTGATATTCGACGTAGCCGATCATAGAAGCTCTTTCTTGTTATTCTTTTTTTGTGAAATGTAATAAAATTTTAATATTATAATTTTTAATGTTAGTTTTTTGACCGCTATGAAGCTGGTTTCGTGGTTGTAGGTCGCCTCGTGCTTTACCAACCTGTTCCCAAGCTGTCGTCGGTCGCTCCTAAGTAGCTCAGCTGTATTCAGTTTTGTTTCCAAATCACGGCCAGGTGCGGCGCACGCAGCCGCCTGGCTCGTCTCCAGAAAAGGATCTCCATTTCTCGCATTGCATTCAAGCGAAAATGCGGCAGGCAGACAGCCACTCAATGGGCTCAATGGAGGCTGCCGCATTGTTATTGCTGCTCCTGCTGCTGCGCTGGGGCAGATGCGGCAACGAGGCAAAATTAGTGCTCAACACTCATGGATGCATTATCCTGGAACGTTGATTTATAGACGCGCCGGCGCAAGCGCGCGCGTTCTTTCTTTTCAATTATTTTGAGCTACCGATCCGTTGCCCCGTCATGTTTTGTTTGGTGTGTGCACACACACACACACGCATTTAACTTTATTTATTCAAATGCGCCTGAAATGCATGCAACGAGTGCGGACACTAATGAAAATCCTGGTTCCCGAATTGCTTTAGCCTGTGAAAACATCTGCGCGTGCGCCTAAAGTGCAGCGAGTTGTCAGTGTCTGGATTTATGAGTGGTGTCTGAATATGAAAATGCGTTGGTCCTCTTGTTGAGAGAATGCTATGAAAATTATACGAAATTGAAGGGAAATCAATTACAATTTCTGTAGTTGAAAACAAATTATCGAGACTCTTACAGAATTAGATTCGCATACCTAAAACTGAGAACATTTAAATTTTATAGCCAAGATAATGTAGAGAATACGAAGGGAATTTTTAATTGTAAAATGAATACCATTGTGTGTACCTCGATTCTTTTTAACCGGGAACATATGTTATCTGAAATTCTTTTAATTGCACTGAATTTTAACTGAATATGTCTAGCTCTATGCAAAAGTACATTTCAATCTCTTCGAACTTATCTTCACTCGTATTCGTTCGATTTTTCAAAGCAAGGACTTGAATACTTTTCAGATATTATAGAGCTCAAGGCAATAGTCAAGGTGTTGTTGGCCCAGTTCACGGAACATCACAATGCTCCAATTACCATCCAAGTGTCTCGTGGCTTGCTGCTTTGAATCCGTGACAGTTAGTATCGTAGAGAATTTCCAAATAACTGTAATTAAAATAAAAATAACTGTGGTTCTTAAGATTAAAATTAAGTAAACCATTAAGATGTCATGCAAAGACCGCCCACATAGCAAATAAACAGCGCTAGCTCGCCCGGCGAGGTTTCATTCAACATGGACTGACTTTACAGACGCTTCACCTACAGACACACATACACCCATATATGTACAATCATCAAACTGATGGACATGATTAGAGGCTTAACATCAAAATGAAAAGAGAAAAGCGCGACCTTTGGCGCCTCGCAGCGGTGCAACAAGCCCCTAAAAAGTCAGATGCATGAGGTATAATTGATGAGCTTTTAGCATTTAACCAAAAAAAAAAAAAAACGTAAAATTAAAATGAACAACAAGCCAAATACCCTTGAATACAGTTTCCATAAAAATGCTTTTCAATATGGTCTTTGCCTTAATTATTGTTTTTTAAGGAGCAATTTTAATTGAGGAGAATAGTCAAGTCTGTAATTGATGAATTTGGTCGAAATATCTGGGCAATCCAAAATGTTTTCATCTCCGAGGAAAGAATATAAATATTTTACGAGATCGGCGATTTCTCTTGCTCGGTGTTACATATTTCATGACGGAATAATAATACCCTCTGCAAGGGTATAATAACTCGTGAAAGACGACGGATTGACGGGTGCAACTAACGCACTTCATAAAGCACAGCCCGGCACAGGGAAAGAAGAGGGAGAAAGCGAGGGTAAAGGTGTTAAAGGCAGCCGAGTTCGGGGCCACAAAATGATTAATCATTTGGCAGGTGCGCTTAGCCCAAAGAGTTGCAGCACACACAACAAACAACAAACGACAAGAGCCGAGAAGAAAGAAACGGTACTCGAGAAGGGTTTTCTTTAACGAGAAACTATTTAACTTAATTTCAACGGTTTGCATTTTGGGTTAAATTGTCAAGTGGACGCTGCGAAAGGTGCGGCTGTGGCGGCAGCACAAAGGCTCAGAGCTGGCCAAAAAGGATTGCCTTTATTTGGACTGCCTGTGTGCCACACCCACACACAAAAGGTGTGTGCGGCGTGTGTGAGGCGTGGCCAGGACTCAAGCCCGTGTCTGTGCCTGTGTCTGGCCTGTCTCTGAGCTCAATCAAGTAGGCTGGCCATCATTATGTAATTTGACGAAAAGTAAACGAGAAACAGTTCAACGTTTTACGTAGAAAATCAAAGCGTTGCCTAATGAAGGGTTAAGCATGGCTCGGGTTTGCAGCTTGAGCTCATTTCGAAGCCGTTTTTAATGGGCCTCTTACGATCTTTTTATGCTTTATTTTCATCAAGATTTATGACAATTAATAATAGGTATAGACCATTATGTTGCGATGCTCAGCCACTTCCGCTCCCAATCAATTAAAAAAATCTCCAACTCCCTCGCTGCCTCTTCACTGAATTATGACAAAATATATATATACTAATATATATAAGCAAGATTTATGTTGACAGTTCGCTCTAACAGACTACGGCATAACAGACCACCTTGCCGGGGCACACTGTACATGACGCAATCAAGGCAAGCACCTTGCCAAAAATGAAAAAGGACGGTGCGAGGCCTAAGCCCGAGCCCAAGCCAGGCAGCTGGCTGGCATATCTCTGCCTGCCCCTAGATTTCTAATAGCATCTTCATCTCTTCAGATTTGTCAGCTGCCTCGCTGCCCGCTTTTGTGCGCACTTCTTTTTGTCTTTTTTGCGAATAATAGCGTTAGGCATCGGTGTCCTAGGCACAGGTTCCACTCCTGACTTCAGAGTCCTGTGTGGCATTCGACGTGCACAAAAAAATTGTGGGAAGACGCTCATCACCTGTCCTTGTGCCAAAGGCAAAACTCTGCTTCTATTTTGCTTTAATACTCTTTTTTTTTTTGCCATGTTGTCCTTTGTTTAAGGATTTAGTGTTTGATCCAGTAGGTAAGTCGACCTGCAGCCAAAAATGTTTTCAGTTATTGTATTGGCATGTGCCTTACGATATGAGGGTAGATTACAAATTGGATGCCGGAGCGAACGAGCCGAAGAGCGCGCATCACGGCCTGTCGAAAGAGAATCACAGTTTAAAATTGCGCACTGAACTGCTCTTATCTCAAGTACCTCTTGTAAATGCCCAATACAAAGCACTCCAGAGTTTCCATTAAGATTTACTGCATAAAACTATTTGTCCTGATTGATGATCAACAAGCACAGCCCAAGCCGTAGGAGCTAGGAATTAGATTTCTGACTGTAAGATAAGGTTTTGGAAAATTCCATCTGCACCTGTGAAAAATTTTGTGAAAATCAGCTCAAATTGAGTCATGTTGAAACTCGATTAATCTTTTCGAAAACCAACTCACCTGGGAGGAAAATGGGAGTTGTGTAGACGATTTACCGATTGTCCAAGATCCACTTAAATAAGTGGAAAAGCAGTCTACATTTAAAGGAAAAGTCGCCGTCCAAAGCTGATTACATTATGTTTTTCATTTTTAAGCATTTTCATATAAGGCACTTTTACTTATCAGTACAAAAATGCTTTTGGCACCCAACCAAATCGCTTAAACAAAAAAGGATAACCCGTGGGATAAACAGTCAAAGTATCAAACAAAAATATTGTATATATTTTATTATCTTGTTATCAACCTTTCCTAAATGCAAATACAAACAAAAAGCGCAGACACTTGTTAAGCGTTTGCCAAGTTGTTGGTAAATACATGAACTATGAACAAATATCGGCTCGGCCCGTGGGTCGAGGTTTTTGAGAAACCACATACAGATAAATGAAATGTCATTTGGACACGCACATCACGTTTAGCACCTGAATTTATTTGTGTTTGCCAGCGGCTGCTGCCGTCCAGGCTGGAATTCACATACGACAACGTTGTGATCGTGATTTTAGATGACATGAGCATATTTACTACAAAATGGGTTTATTTGTATGGTTAATTGTTGGCCAAGATGCGGGGCAGGTGCCAAGTGGACAGCTGATAAGCTGTGCCAGATAAGACAGGGCTTGGCTTAAGATTTGAACCTAGGCCGGACCACACCTGTCGGTCTCTCACGGTGCGTTACTCCTTTGAGTGCTGACTTGTTCCTCGGCCCGCTGCACCGCAGGACCACGTCGTTAGAAAGCCATACAACTCAGTTTAGCATTGTCCTTTGTCTTTGAACAAACGAAACGCTTGGCAGGCGTCTTACCCTCGCGCTGCGTGCTCTATTTCCTTTCCATTTTGCACACTCCCTAATGAAATCGCGCTTTGTTTCCTTGCGGCCTCCTCGTGTTTGTGCCAGTAGCAGTAGGTGGTGCATTAGCGTTGCCTGTGCCCGCCTTCTGGCATCAGGTCGTCTGCCCCGAAATGAGTCTTCAACTGGCCCAGCCATCTGGTGCTCACAGCTGGCAGCCAATCCGTCTAGTTGAGTTGAATGTATATGTTGATATATATAGAAAACAAAAATTATGATCTTAATTTGAACAAGACTTGGCAATTCTATCGATCACACGGCTGTAACCGGTTAAAAGAAATTGTTTAATATAAAAATAGTCTAAGGAAAATCCAGCCTCAAAGCATAAAAAACTCGAGACCATTTTTGAACACGAATCGAAATTGAAAGACAGGTATCTGGGTCGAAGCATGACAATTCAGCCCTGAACATACGTGTAGATCAGAAAATTGTCAGAAGCATCACTCTGTTTGCCCAGCTGAGATCAAGCAACATCTTCATTAGAGCCCAGCCTAATCGGCACGCACAATTCAATGAGCATCGATCATTATGCGGAAAGTAGGTGTACCCAGGCATCTTCTCATCCTTGTACATGTACGCCCGTTGCCGCTGCTGCCGTGTCCCATTGTACGCAAATCTGCACCAAATTTATGCAAATTGAAATTCCATAGCAAACACCTGGCCTGGCTTGCCAAACACACACATGAGCACACACACACGCACACCCAGATAATACGTGCAACAATTGTTTCAATGGCAGCCAGGAATGATGAATGTGGCAAAGATTCCATTCGCCGTCGCCGGCTGATTACACCAGCTACGGCAGACAACTTGGCGCGCCGCACAAAAGTGTAGCAAATCCTCAAGAGCGCCTGGGCGCACGGAGCAGCCCGGCTGGCAAGGTGTCAATTCTGGGAAATCTGCTCAGCGTGCGCGGGCCCAGCGATGCACAAACAATACACAACGCAGCGGGAGGCTCTGGTCAAGCAGAAAAGGCAACAAAATTGTTATGGTGACAATGACAATGCACTGGCCATGGCCAAGGCGCACAATAAGCAGCAGCAACAGCAAGAGTGGTCTAGTCGAAGGGATCCGACCAGGAGATACCCTGTACGCATCGTTTTGAAGACGGCCTCAGAAATTCAAACAATATTATATGCATACAGAAAATAGCACTCACCTTTGATTATTTACCCTTTTCCCATATTATGGGAAAATGCATTTTCAATAGCTTCGGTGTTTAAAGCCAGATCCTTGTCAAAATTGCGGAACGTAGAAGGACAGCCAAATATGTGTGTAACGAAAGCAGAAAAATTGAGGAACTAGGGTAAAGAGTAAAAATATTCTTAATCTGTGTATACCATAAGAAAAGATGGAAAATATATCGAAAATGTGGTTGGTAGACATGTTTTGCTTGTTGATGCTTCCGTCCTCTTACTATACATATATGCCCAAAACTAGAATACCCTTTACATTTTCAATGGGTACAGGGTATGGCAAGAGCAACACATAACGAAGCGCAGACAACATTATTGTCATCTCTCGACATCAATAGGTGCTAGCATTGGCATTGGAAACTAGTGCAGTGGGCTGTGGGAGAATCTTTGAACGCGCTCCAATTTAAAAAAAAAAATAAATAAAAAAGCTTTAGCTGGATGCTCTTCTTCTTTTGCTTTTGCAGCCGTCTGTTTGCTGCCCACAGGCAATTTGCATTCGCAGGCGTTTTTCCTTTGTATGCTGCACTGAAAAATCGCGTTGTTAGTGCCTGACTGAGCTCTTACAATTCCACGACATTATTTATTTATTTATTTTTTTTTTTTTTTTTTCGAAAATTTACATACCAAACATATGTAGCTGATTGCGCAAATTCAAGTGCAAAGAAAAATTTTAATGGCACGCTTCAGTGTTGTAAAACGCCAGCCCTTTGTTGTCGCGTTGATGAATTATCGCAATCAGTCAATAAAATAGGGCTATGGGAAACAGATTAGAATTTCCCACCCCCAATAATAAAGCTATCGATTATTTAAATCTAATTCAAATCTGTTAATAGCAGAAAAACAAATTGTATATAAATAAATTAATGCATATTTAGTGCTGCAAATCGCCATCCTTTTGTTATCGCATTGCCCACCCCAAAAGGATGTTATCGATTTTTTTTTCATAACTTTCAAATCTCTTTTTTAAAGAAAAGCAATGAAATGATACGTCCTCCATTTTGTTAAATTTATATAGTGTGAGAAAAGAACAATTTGTATTTTGATTAAAATTAAAATATTAAATGAAAACCCAACTGTGGGAACATTGTTGATTTCTCAGAATCGCATTCATAAGAGGCTTTTGTTTAACATCCTAAACAGAAAGCGTGTAAAATTTTGATATTTTAGCCATTTTATTTTGTCGAAAGTTTATTTGTTGCAACATGGAGCAACGAGTAACACCCATTATATGATCAGCTCTTAAGGTACTAATCCTATTTTGAGGCAGTGAAACAAAAATAATAAAACTTTTTTACGACAAGCTTTAAAAGAAGAAAGAAAACGCGGCCAGGGACTTGCCACGTCTGTGTCTGGGCCAGAGCAGCAACAAATTATTAACGACATTTTAAATACAACGCCTTTTGCGACCGCTCGAGCTGAGCTCGAGAGCGAAAGGGGTCAAACACGGGTCTCAGCTCTGCTGTCTGGGAGTCAGCATGGCCCAATCGAGTCTTCCTTGCGGGCGGCGACACGAGAAACGAAGACGACGGCGACAAGCCAAGAGGCGACGCCTTTTAATGAGATTTGTCTGCTCCGAAATACATGAAAAACTCGTGTTTCTTATGCATTTAAGCGTTTTAAGGACACACAGGCAAAAACGAGAGACCAAAGCCACTTGCTGTTGGCCCTTACGAATGGGGCTCAACAAAACGGCAACGTGTGGCATTAACAAGTGTCTGGCAGAGACTGCAGAGTTGTGCTTTATATTTTATGCTCAGAGCAGGCAGTAAAAATTGAAAATTACTTTTGTAGCGGATCTTGAGGTTGGGGCCATTACATATCCAGGCCCTACCGCATTTGAAAGCTGAGGCAATAATTGCACAGTGAAAATTACAATCGAGTATTTTTATTGACTCTTCCTTGCGGCTGCGCAAAGATCTGCGTGCCATCCGCGAGCTCGATGAAAGTGCGTGTGGGTTATGGAGATCTTCAACTGGGCACTGGAGCATGTGCACCCGCGGCGTTTAGTTTCTGTTACTGTAGTTGCGAATGAAAGTTTTTAACCGTTCATCTTTTTTAGGATATTATGTTAAAGGAATACCCAAACATGACAGCCAAAATTGTTGCTAATAAATTGCTTAACTTAAAATGCCACCCAAATAATGGGACACAGTAAATAAATAAATGATGTACAGTGAGCAAAAAAAGTAAAGGTATAAGCTGTTTTTTGTGCTAACAATCAATAGAATTAGAACACGTTGGAAAATAAAACAATTACGAAAGGATGTTCCTCGGTACATCGAAAATGCAATAAACTTATCTAATTGGTGAATTTGGAAGATATGAAAATATATAGCTATTTAGGAAGAAAACAGAACCTTTTACTGTAGGCCGATTAAGCCAATATACGGCTTATATGTAAGAAGCTCTGTAAAATTAATAATTGGGGTGCTTGGTCTTTATCTTGAAAAGCAAATGTTTTTAAAGGAAAACCTAATTTTCGACCGATTGTTCCTATGGGAGTCATACGATTTATTGGGCTGGCTTATTAACCATCATTATTAATTGATTGATCCTCTTTTTGCTCCTGATGCATCGGCCGTACTAAGTTTTGTGTCAATTATTAGATTGCTCCTTCAAATTGCTCCTCAAATTGTCATTGGCAAGTTTTCGTTCATGATAGGTATTTCTGATTCAAGTTCCGGATATGGGCTCTTGGCTTAAGATCTGAAGATTGGGGGATAGCTATTCAACTCATTCATTCGCTTGTCCATTATTTGTATAAATTAATTTAATTAAACTTATATTTTAAACGAAATGTTTCTTTAAAAAGTGTAAATTGCAAACAAACTTGATTCGCCGGCTGCAAGCAGTGCGACGCGATCCCTAAATACGGCTAATTGAGGCCCAGGACTTGTCGCCTGTCAGAAGAAGAGAGCGACTTCAATAAACTTGTTCCTTCATGATTTAGAGCGTCAGAAAACGCAAGCTAATTAACTTGCACAGCGGTTAGGCACTCCACACCTGTGGGTGGTCGCCGTCGAGAGGCACATACCAGCCAGGCGGATCGGGAACGTACAAAAAATTAGTTAACAAGATCATTAAATCTTTGTTAACAGTCTATCGAGCGGCGACGAGACGACGAGGCATTAGACTTGGAGAGCGAGAAATACCCAGGTGCCCCAGGCTGTGAGCCCAGGCCACGACGTGCGATAAGATAAGAGCGCACCCAGAGCAGAGCATACCTGGGCCCAGCATGTAAATCGCATCTCACACAGTACGTGGTCAGTCAGTCGGCCGCGCGGACGATGTTGCACATGTTTATCTATTAATTTATGCTGGTGGTTTTGTGGATTTGGGCCGGCGAGATTGCTGCCCTGGACCCGGCTGGACCTGCCAGTGCCTGCTTCCTGGGAATCTAAAATCTGCACAGCACAGTGGGCAACAGGGACAAACATTTGATAAGCCCGCTAATTAAGTTAAATGCGCGCCTGTGTGGGCTGGAAAGGATTCCGAGAAGTCGCCGCAATTGGCACAGGTTTAGGTTTTTAGGTTATGTGTTGGCTCATGATTTATGGCCGCGCCGAGCACAAGTAGAGCCCATTGCTAGCCAACACCTTTTTATCTGACTAACAACACTGAAAGTGTTTGTTTGTTTGTTTGACAGCTGCCTCCATGGAGGGGTTGCCACTTGAGATTCCAACATGTTTTTTAATTGCGCAACGCGCATGCGTGTGTGGCCAGTGCCAGATTTCTGTGTCTAAATTTAGAATTACGGTTTAACCCCTGTCTGAGTCGATTAACAGGCGACACTTGGTTGGTTGGGCATGCGCCGTTTGGGGCAATGCTTTAAGAGCGCGCTAAGAGAGCTTGTCTGTGGCCAAGCCCCACGAGAAACAAACTGGAAACGAAACATACAAAAGCAATACGAAAAGAGTGGCGTTATTGAGCGTGGCTTAAGAGTGCAAAAGTTAACTCTTCCTTATGCTCTTTTATGCTGAGTTGCGTATGAGAAATAAAGCTTATTTACTTTTAAGTGTGCATAAGCTGTGTTCGGCTATTACGCTGATTTAACTCCTTTAAGAAATATCTTACGTAGAATTTTTTCTAAATACCTGTACCGACATCAGTTAATTTGCACACGTGCGGGTTGTTACCTATGGTTTATAGTTTGACCACGTTTCGGCAACAGGTCAATTCCAAACGCAGCAATGCACCTGATGAGACAATATATGGGGTTATATGACGGTGCAGGCCAACTAATCCACTACTGGGGATGCTTTTTGCATCGTTTTAACTACAGGTAGTCGGCTAAAAAAAAGCAACATCTTTAAATTTATATGCGTAAATAAACCTCAAGCAATGTGACTGTCAATTGTCATTCACTATGATCGATATGTCGCAATTGTAAATGCAACTCTGCTAATACATCAGTCAAAATACAAAATTATTGTAATTGCGTCTTGATTATTGAACATCAATTGTTTCGCCTATTTAATAGTCGAAAGGGCACTGCGCAAGAGCCATTCGCAACCCCCCAAAAGGTCTGAGCAGAGCAACAAAAGTAAGAGTCGATTGATATTACGCATTGTCGATGCTTTATTATTTTGGCTATCAACTAAATTTAACGCTCTCTGGCGCTCTCTGCAGCAAGACCTGGTGGGACTCGTGCTGAAGAAGAGCTTCACACGTTAAGTGCGTTGTTGATCTGAATGCGCCTCTGGATTCGCTCTCTTGCATGCACCTAAGTTTCGCTGCAGCTGCGGGGCCTGCACACCACAGCAAAGATAACGGCATTTAGCTGCACGCTGTTGTTGTTGCGGCGGCGTTAGCGATTGGTGCAAGTGTACGCGCTCCGGAGTACATAAAGCATACATAAACCAAGTGAGAACCGGTTTTGGCGCGGACCGCTGCGATTGGCTGCGACGCATGCTATCAACAGCACGACGTCAAGCACATACACGCACACATCTGCAGCCAGGTAAATGTACACAAGGGAGCAGGTAATTACTGTTCTCTCTCTCGCTACCAGCACGCTCTCTTGCGCTCTCTGGCTCTCCGGCTGCGCGCAGCGCTTGTGCCGCTTATAAAAGCCGCTGGGCAGCCTCGTCTTGTTTCAGTTCTTCTCTTTCGTTCATTGCAACAGCAACACAAACCAATTGACGGCAACCCTACATTGAGTTCGTTCAGTTCGTTAAGTTTTGTGCGCAACGCGATGTTTATGTGAAGCCAGCGACAAAATCAGTTCCGAATTTTTGTGTGACAATAATAAAAAACAACCAAGGGAAAAAGAAAAACAGTTACAAAATGCATACCGTCGAACATATGCTAGTGGAAAAGAACTACAGCAAGTGTCCTTTAAAGAAGCGCCCTGTCAACTATCAGTTCGAAGCCGAACCCGAGGATTTGTGCCTCAAAAAGAACAGCAACGATGCATGCTCGACAACAGCAACAAATGTTGAGGCCTCGGCTGCAACAGCCACCTCCAGCTCAGAGGAGGAGCTCATCAATGTGAGCGACTGCTGCGAGGACGAAGGCGTCGATGTGGATCACACGGACGACGAAGCGGAGCACATGGATGTGGAGCACGAGGATGAGGATGATGTCGATTGTGTTAACGTTGAAAGCGATCCCAAACAGACACAGGCCGCTGCACTGGCAGCTGCTGCCGCTGTGGCCGCCGCCTCGGCTGCGGCTGTAGCCGCCTCCGTAGTGGTGCCCACGCCCACCTATCCCAACTATGGCCTGCAGCCCTGGAACTTCCATATGTCGCCGTACACGGCGGAGTTCTATCGCACCATCAATCAGCCGCATTTGTCAGCAGCAGCAGCCGCATCGGCGCCACTGCGCGCCGAGCTGCTCTCGCCCAGCTCACCCTCCGATTCGTTGGGCTCGCTGTCGCCACCGCCGCATCATTATCTGCATGGACGCGCCAGTTCCGTGTCGCCGCCAATGCGCTCCGAGATGATACACCGACCGCAGTTGGGAGTGCGCCAGCAGCAGAGTTTCCTGCCATATCCAACGTATCCTGCAGCCTATTCCGCTCTGGGCTATCCGCATCACCAGCCGTTGCATGCCCAGCACCATGCGCCGATTTCGCCAGCCTACTCCGAGAGCTCCTACTACTCGATGCGCAGTCTGACGCCCGAGTCGAGTTGTTGCTCGGTGCCGGAGGATCTCTCCTTGAAGCACAAACAAGCTGCCTCTGCGGCACACAGTGATGCCGCCAGTAAACAGCTCAGCCACAGCAGCTCTGCCTCATCAGCTGCAACGGTTTCTTCGTCGTCCTCCTCCACCTCCTCCGCCTCGTCTGTGTCAGCATCGTCGTCGCCCAGCAAAAAAGACAAGTCGTCGCCGCCTCGCTATCAATGCCCCGACTGTCAGAAATCGTACTCCACATTCTCGGGCCTCACCAAGCATCAGCAGTTCCACTGCCCCGCCGCTGAGGGCAACCAGGTGAAGAAGTCGTTTAGCTGCAAGGACTGCGACAAGACGTACGTTTCCCTGGGCGCACTCAAGATGCACATACGCACCCATACGCTGCCATGCAAGTGCAACATGTGCGGCAAGGCGTTCTCCCGGCCCTGGCTGCTGCAGGGGCACATACGCACCCACACCGGAGAGAAGCCGTTCAGCTGCCAGCACTGTCATCGCGCCTTTGCGGATCGCTCCAATCTGCGGGCGCATCTGCAGACGCACTCGGACATCAAGAAGTATTCGTGCGGCAACTGCTCCAAGACATTCTCGCGCATGTCGCTGCTGACGAAGCACAATGAGGGCGGCTGTCCGGGCGGCAGTGGCTCTGGCTCTGGCTCCAGCGCCGGCGCTGCTGGTTCCAACTCTGAGCTATCCTACGGAGGCTACGCCGAGCCCTAGGCTCCCAGCTCCACCTCGTCGTAGTTCATCATCGCATTACAACGTTCTACACAAGCCATGTTCCACCAAAAATTAGTTCCTAGCTCGAGAGTAAGCGGAAGCCGGCAGCTCCAAGACAAATCCAAGACACACACACACACACATGCACGCACAACCAGAAAAACACACACCCAGTGAAACGTTAAAATTTTTATTTTATTTTATTTTTTATTTTCTAGTCAACATTTTCTTTGCAAGAGAAAATCAAAAAACAAAACAAAACAAAAAAAGAACAAAATATATGT